CTTCCCCGGTGGGCCCAGCCTGTCCACAGGCTACTCAAGCAGGACGTGGCTGGCCAAGCTGGCCAGGCCCCTGGAAAGGAGGAAGTGTGTCCCTCCCCTCACCCCACTCACAGGGAGGTGGCAGTAGTAGGGACCAGACAGTGGCATTCACTTGGCCTACAGGTGCTGACTGAGGCAGGCATCGAGGAGGGAGCAGAATTTGCTGTGTGAATCACCTCTACCCACCCATGTGCCTCTTCAAGGAGAAACTCCCAGAAGGCTTTGGACATACAAGTCGGGGACCCTTCCTATGCTGAGGAGCGAGACAGGCCCCTGGAGGAGAGGGGAGTAGAATGGGACATCCTCTTACTGGTGGCAGCTTGCCACCTACGGGCAGCCAGACTCTAAAATGAAACTTTTATTTTCAGTCCTAGCCTGGTCCTGTTGCTGGCAGGCCTGGGTTTCGGCCTGTTTGCCAGTGCAGAGCAATAGACCGGATGGGGCTGGCTGGTGGCCTTTGAGGATGGACAATAATGGCCAAGTTGATGAAAATGATACTTATTTACCTCAGATCAGCCAGTGCCTCAACATTCCCTACCCATTATTCTGTTGTTCACAAGGAAGTGCTAGTCACTGTTCTCATTGTAGAAGTTGGGCAACTGAGGTGAAGTAGGTGGGGTGGGGGGGCTGAGGTTGTGGCTCAGCGGTACAGCGCTCACCTAGCACATGTGAGTCCCTGGGTTCGATCCTCAGCACCACATAAAAAATAAATAAAAACAAAGGTATTGTATCCAACTAAACTAAAAAAATAAACAAATAAAAAAGGAGGTGGGTGGGTAGCTGGAGGTCCCCCAGCTAGCAAGCAGCAGGGCTGGAATTGGTACCTGTGCTCCTTTTTTTTTAGTCCTGGGGATTGAACTCAGGGACACTCGACCACTGTGAGCCATATCCCCAGCCCTATTTTGTATTTTATTTAGAGACAGGGTCTCACTGAGTTGCTTAGTGCCTTGCTTTTGCTGAGACTGTCTTTGAACTTGTGATCCTCCTGCCTCAGCCTCCCTACCCACCGGGATTATAGGCGTGTGCCCCATGCCTGGTGGTACCTGTGCTTCTAAGAAGCAGGGTCCAGGCTTTTCCCCTACCCCTGATGGGTGTCTTCCTGATGGGGCTCCCCTGGGAGGGCTGTAGCCTTGCCTTTTCTTTTGTGGCTGACTTCTACTCTCTTCGCACCTCCAAGAAGCCTTCTTGGTTCTGTGGGCTCCTAGGCCCCTTGTGTATAGTATCCTGAAGGTGCCCCCCCCACACACACACAACTGTTTCCAGAACAGAGTGGATGGATACTCAGGGATGGTTTTTAAAGTGCACAAATGATGCCCTTTTTTGGAGGAACTCTCTTGAGTCTGCCAAAATGTTTTCTTCCCCTGCTGCAGGGCAGGGGTCCCAGGCAGCCCTTTACCTCTCCAGGCCTCCAGCTCACTTTTCATCAGAGCCAGTGAACAATTGGTGAATAAAACACGGCATGAATGGAGTGAGTTACTTCTGTGTCCATTCCATGGAGGAGTTGGGGGTTTGTTCAAATATGTAGTGTCCACACTATGAGCTGGAGGGACTGGCTGTCCCAGAAGTTAGTCTTGGCATGTGGGTAGGAGGTTGCCCTGGCCCTTCAGATCTGAGTGTGACAGAGTGGGAACAGGTGATCCTGGCACTTGCTGAGTCAGGACCTATGTTTATAAATAGAAATGAGGTGAGGGGCCATCCCACCTCTGCTCTGGGGCCCTTGACTGGTGGACAGCTTGTACACAGGACAGGTTGGCTTTCTCTCTGTTGGGATAGAAGTATGAGACCCCTGTTAAGTGGTTTTGTGTCTTGACCAGGGGCTTTCCTCTGCTTGACACTCTGTGGGAAGCAGCCAGTGGAAGGAGCCAGACACCAGGGCTCCTGGGACGCTGTCTAGAGGCTGGACGTTTGGCCCCAGAACTTCTAGATACATGAAGTGCACATGCTTGCAGGGGTTGAGGGGAGGGCTGTATTGGCTTATTTGTAAAGCGAAGAGCCTGGGGACACCCCACCCTCCTGATGCACCATAAGATCTGCTTGCCCTCTGCCCCAGTTTGAAAGTGTTAATGTTCCCCATCCCCATCATCATACCCCCAAAACAGTATTACAGCTTATCAAATATTTGTGAGATCAGCTCTGGAAAGACAGGCACTGGTTTGTTCTCTGACAAGGGCCTAACACTGCTCAAGACCACTGGATTGAATAGGACACAACAAATCAAAATCTCAGCCTTACCACTTACTAGTTTTGTGAATTTAAGCAGGCAATTTAACTTGGCCTTCACCACTGGCTGCTATGAGGGTGAGATAAGATTCAACAAAAATAAGCCCTGCACGGTGGAACAGAGGAATACGCGGCTAGGGAGGCTGAGGCAGGAGAATCATGAGTTTAAAGCCAGCCTCAGCAACAGCGAGGCTGTCTCTAAATGAAATGTGAAAAAAGGGCCGGGTATGTGTCAGTGGCTAAGTGCCCCTGAGTTCAATCCCTGGGATCCCTCCCCCCGCAAAAGGTTCAACAAGTACCTTCACAAATACTCTGGGCCCAGTTGGGCCCAAAGACCTTGGGCAGCATTAATGAGCCCTGACCTTGTGAAGAAAAACATGGCCCTGGGGTCCTGGGAGAAGGAGGAGGTGACTGAAATCTCAAAGAAATCAGTGGCAGAAAAGTGGGCTGCTTTCCAATCCTGGGCTCAGACAGGTTGTCACCTCTAAAGCAGCCAGGGAGGTGTCTGGCCCAAGAAAAGGATAGAGAACCCGAGTATCAGGTGTTTGGACAAAACATGGCTTAGGTGGGCTCTCCTCATTCTGGCCATATCCAAAGAGCAAGTGGCTTGGATAGGCAAATACTATATCTAGAGTAGGCTGCAGGTGGGCCTCTCCCTTTTTTCTCCAAGGAATAGGCAGTTCCTAGCATAGCCACAAAGAGGAACCCCAATCTTAAGGCTCTGCTTCCAGTCCTGGCCCCAGCAACTACCAAACAAGAAAATGTCTATTAGCCTCAAGGAACCTGTCTGCAACATGGAAAAGGACAGTGGTAGTGGGCATACCAAGAAGTCAGTTATGTCCACCCAGGGGTAGGGGTTGGGCTACTGCCATTCTCTCCATCCCAAGAGACCCCATAAACAGAACAAGTTAGGAGCAAGGAAAGGGCTATTATATATCATGCTTTTAATACAAACTTAAAAAAATCTGGAACAATATAAACTGTACAGATTTGATCAATCTTGTTTTTAAACTAAATCTCTAACACACCAATATCCCATTTCAAAATATTGCACAACATTCTGAATACAAAACACTTGATTGTATTCCTCCTTCACTAAAGAAAAAAAAAGTCATTACCCTGCTCCCCTGGCTCCTCTCCACAGTTGCTTCAATGCCCCCTCCCACTCTTAGGGAGAATTAGAGAATCTATAGCTCCCTGCATTGAGAAAAAGACATCATTCTGGATTGACAGTTTACATTCTTCACAAGATAATCCATCTTTAGATTTGTTCCTGGGAAAGAGAGATAGATAGAGGATGGGGAAAGGGGAGAAAAAGGTTTATTCTCCTCTTTTTTTATTTTAAAGTTTGTTTTTCCTGAAAAAATATCAATTTCTCTCCTCTTTTTAAGAAAAAACCTTGAAAAGAAAAAATTACGTTTCTTACGTTAGAAATATACATATATTATATATACCTCTTACATTTTACAAATGTAGCAAATTATTCAATACAAACGGACACCAAAAAATGTAAAAAATAAAAAAAAATTTCCTACGAAACCAGGTAAATTAGTGCAGATTTTTGTTTGTTTTCTTAAAAAAAATAAAATTGAAGCAAAAATGCCTAGATTTGAGACGAGACAGACCGAACCAGGCCCAAAAGCCCAGTGTAGGAGACATGCTCCTGAACACACATTATTCTTCGTATTTCAAGAGACAGGAAGGGATTGGTCTCCCCCTCTCCCTGCATGTGGTGAAAAATGAGCTGGCCTGGGTGCGGGTGGTACCAGTGTGTGTGTGTGCACAGGAGGGGCCAGAAGGGGGATAAGGCAGCATCCAACCTTTCCCAGAGAGGAGCTATCTGCCTGGGCCTGTCACCTGCATGGGAGCTAAGGATGAGGGACAGGGTGACCCAGACTGGGCTGGCCCAAGAGGTCTAGAGGAACAGATGGTGCTGGGCTGAGAAGCCAGGGCCTTGCCCTGATGGGGAGGTAGAGCTGGTGCCCATTATAGGGAGGGGAGGCCGGCAGTGTCTGTCTGGGCCAGACTCACTGCCACAGCAGTACCCACTTGGGGTCCTGGGAAGAATGGAATGGGGTGGGGTACCAGGACTTTGGTGCTTTCTGGTGATGGAGCCCTGATGCCAAGTGCCCCATTACCAAAGCACTGTGGCTCAGAAGCTATGCCATGGATTGGAAAAAACCCTTTCTTCTGCAGAGGAAGGGGAACCAGTGACCTTCTGTATCACAAGTACAATGGCTGGGAGGACCACATGCCTGTCCAGCCTGGCCTACCCAGGAGACCATGCCTCATAGCATCAAGGTCCAGGGTAGGCAGGGTAAGGGCAGTGAGGGGGATGACAAGAGAGAGGTACCGAGAAACTATCAGGTAGGGACACAGACGGAGTGAAATAACACAACCAGAAGACCAAAAAGTCACAATGCAAGGCTCAGGACTGCCCGCAATAGGCACTGACTGACTCCAAATGCGGGTCCTATCTCCCCACCCCCAACTCCCCACCAATGGAACTCAGGTAAGCAGCTCCCATCCTGGGTAAGGTTGCACAACAGGGTCACTGAAGTCCAGGGACTTCTCTTAGGCAACAGAGGCTTGGATATTCCTTCTACCCTTCAGAGCTTATGTGTGTGTGTGTGTGTATATATATATGTATATATACACACACATACACACATATGTATATTGTATGTGTATATATATTTTTTCCCCTATATATATGTGTATGTATGTGTGTGTGTGTATAATTCTTTTTTTTTTTTCCTTTCTTTTTTTTTTCTTTTTGGTCAAAAACAAACAAAAGTGCAGATCCCTCTGCAGTCTGGAAACCAGTTCCTTCTGCAGTGCTTTCCCCTGGGAGTGCCTTAGGCTCAGCCAATGTCACCCCCTCCATACTGCCTTACAAAAAACTGACAACCCACCCCAGCCCATCCCCAACCTCATACATAAATAAGCACTTGCTGCAACCCAGAATCACATCCAGAGGGAAGTTTCACATGGCTTGGAATCCTTTAGAACAGGACAGCAAACCACATATACTCACAGGGGTGTACATGTACACACATGTATACATGTACACACACACACACACACACACACACACACACACACCTTATTCCCACCTCCTAGCCCACAGCCTCAGGCCCAGGGAAGAAGGGCTGCATTAGAGAAAGAGGCCATGCTTATAAAGGATGCTGGGTGTCCAGAGCCATGATAATCGTCTAGGCCTGGTGGGGTCGGTGGGTGGATGGGGCCACAGCACAGAGATGAAAGGATTTCAACAAGACAAAGTGCAAACCTCCCTGTAGTCACAGACATTAGCTCTTGGGGGAGGGTGTCAAGTGGCTAGCCAGAAACTCCCTGTGGCCCAGCCTGAGAGGGAGTGTGGGCTGGGGTCAGACCTATTTGGGTGGCAGGGCCCAAGAAGTCCTGCTGAGGTTGGATGGCTTTGAGTGAGAGGATAGCTGGAGGGCAGGCAGTGAAATGGACCAGCCTCTCCCTACTTGGGGGGGTTTGGCCCCAGCTGCAGCTCTTCCTTCCCTGTGAGCTTGGACACACCAATCATAAAGGAGTGTGAAGGAGGGAGGAGGGAACAGGGAGCAGCAATTCACATCTGGACCATTCTTAGCACAGGAAGCCACTAATTAAAGATGTTATATAGAAAACTACATGTAAAAAAAAAAAAAAAAAAAAGAAATACAAAACCCAAACCAACCAAATAAATCAGAAGCAGGCAGGAAAACGGTCGGGGTGGGGGGTTGAGTTAACCACGATTCGGTGCTTCAGGAGCCCCCTCCCACTCCATGCCTGGGCTGGATCTTTTTTCTAGAAGCGAGAGTGAGAAGATTGGAAATATTTTTGTACAGTTTTCTTTTCCTCTTTTTTTTGGCCTTTCCTCTCCTTTCCTTTTTCTTATCTGTGGTCGTGGGTGCTCTTGGCCCTCTGGGTGGAGGAGTGGTCAGTTGGCCAACACAACAGGCTGGAACGGCTGGCTAGGGTATTGCATGGTGTTCAGGTTGTAGCTCAGGCCTTCCACAAAGGGTGTCTTCTCCAGGAAAAGGCTGTTGGTGCCACCTCCAAATACCTGGGCCATATCGAAGCTGCTGCTGTTACAGGTGCTGGCCCCACCACCCGCAAAGGGTGCTGAGGTGCCACTGCCCTGGCCATCAGCCGCATCAAAAAAGAGGCTGGGCGAGCCACCACCATTGTACACGAACTCCTTGGCATTGGGTGAGAGCTGGGACTGAGGCGCCGAGGTGGCTGTGATGAAGTTCAGTGAATGCATAGACAAAGAGAGGCTCTTGTGCTTCAGTAGGTTGTTGGTGGGCGAGCGGACCATGCGAGGCTGTTGCTGTGGTGGCTGCTGGCCACTTGCCCCACTGCTGGCCACGCCCCCACCACTAGATGCCCCACCACCCTTCTTCATCTTGGTAGAGCCAAATTTGGTGGCAGCGAAAGAGGCGGTGGTGAAAGTGATGGGCTGGGCAGAGCGAGGGATGAAGGTGGGGCTGGGTGACTGGCCGAAGGACGGCGAGGGGGAATTGGACAGAGAGCTGTCCTGGCTGCCAATGGGCACAAATACCTGAGCATCAGGGTTGAAGCTGCTCTTGATCTCCTTGTCCAGCTCTGGGGCACCACTGCCCTCACTGTCATCCAGGTACAGCACTTTCACAGCCCCCTTCTCACCAATCTGGTAGGACACCTCAAAAGGGTCAATCCAGACACTCAGTTCCTCAGGCACGTTGGCCCGCACATCCTCCACTGCCAGCCCGCTCCGCTTGGCAGCCAGCTCTACCACAGGGTCCACCATCTCCCCAATGTGGACGCAGCGGAAGCCAGAGCCCTTGAGTGGCTTATCAGGGTACCAGTGGCCTTCATATTTCTTTTTCAAAAGTCGCTCGAGCTCCTCTCCAAACAGGTCTGCCCGGCGCCGGGGCAGCTTGTTGTATAAATAGGAGATGATGAAGTTCAGGGCCACTTTAATCTCTAACTGCATGGTCCTTTCCTAGGCAGAGAATCAGTGCAGGGCACGTGCACAGGCCAAGGGAAGTGGTTGCAGATGTAAGATGGGCAGACTTGGGCTCCAGATGGTTCTGGGAAATGAGAAAGAAGGAAAGGAGTATCATGAATATATATATGCAGACAGATGGAAGTGGCCAAAGACAGACAAAAAAACACCAACTCTGGATCAACTACCATTCTACCAATGGCTGGGTTCAACTATACAATTGTAGACAAGTTACTTCCTTCTGAGCCTTAGATTTCTCACTGGGAAAATGTGTCTGACATGGAGTTGGAGGATATAAATTGTCTTATGCTACACTTGGCATTAATAGACACTTGATAAAGTTAGCTATTTTTTTAAAATAATAAACACAGACGGAATGCTGTTTTCCACCATTATGAGAATTTGGGTCCCTGTACGAATGATACACACACACACACACCCCAAGCAAAAATAAATAAATGAATAAACCCAGGCTCCTAATTCATCAGAAGAAGGGAAGGACTTTGCTGTCTCTGTAATATCTTGGTGAAGTCATGTCCCCAAACTGTCACAGGCTAAGATGTAAGTTTAAAATTTTTAGTTCTCCTCCTTACATGGAAAGGGATACAGGTCACTGAACATGAAGGAATACTGCCAACTTTTCTCTGGGGCTTGGACTTCAGTCATATCCATCTGTTACCCTGGGCCCCATGGGTGTGAGGCTTTCAGGCTCAGTCTGGGTTTGCAGAACTGATTTAAGAACTACAGTGTAGGGCTGGGGATGTAGCTCAGTGGCAGAGCACTTGCCTAGCATGCGTGAGGCACTGGGTTCAATCCTTAGCACCACATAAAAATAAACAAGTAAAATAAAGGCACTGTGCCCATCTACAACTAAAAAAAAAAAAAGGTGGGGAATGTACCCCTGGGTTCAATCCTAGTACACTGTTGTGCGCACGCACGCGCGCACCCGCGCGCGCACACACACACACACACACGAGCAGCACTGGTGTGGCCTGAGGGAATCTCTGTAGTTTCTGTAGAAGGTGTAAGTGATGAGGATGATGGCAGAGGGAAAAAAATTTCCATCACCCTGTAGTCTCCAGCTGGGGACCCCATCATCACTCTGTTTCCCAGGGACTGTCTGACCACCTGTTCTCGGCACTGGATCAGATTTATCAAGTGTTTGGAGATGCTGGAGGAGAAGGCAGCCCAAGATAAACACTCAGATTGTTATTTTGGGACTCTCTCACAGCCAATCCCACTGAGGTCAAAAAAGTTTTACCCCATAGGTCTGGGCCAGCCTCATGTTTCGGGAACATGATCCTTAAGTCCTAAGAGCTAGTGATTCTACTCTCACTTTCTCCAAAAGGGTGGCTCCTGAACTCACGCTCAGGGAGAAAATGAACTAAAAAAGGGCAATCTTTAAGGGAAGGCAGGGCCAAAACATCTCCCTAACCAGATCTCTGGGCAAGTCTAGGCTGCTGAGCTCAGCACAGAGATGAGACTGATCCATGACCTGTCAAGGGCAACTTCCGTCCTGTGAAAGACTCAGTGTTGGACTGTGATTAAAGTTCCTTCTGGTTTCAGCATGAAGTGTCCAGGTACCAGCTGTAGGCTTGGGGGGTCTTGAGTTTTCTGAACACCTGTCCCAACACACTTCCCTGTTCATTCTTAGACTTTGGCCCTTGGCTCCTAGGAACACTTTTAGGACTAAATCCTCAAGAAAAATATTCTGGGATGAAGGTATCTGAGAAGATGCACTGGATCAATCTAGAGCACCGTAGCTCAGTAGTTCCATCTGGACTCTCATTTCAGGTCTGAGGAAACAGAGAGGGTCACATGGGGAGTCAGTGACTGGTCCCTCTCCCAAGCCTGCCCACAGAATGCTCAGTACTCAGGAAACCCTGTTTTCCTCTTCATCCCAGCCTCCAAAAGACTTTGGTCTTTGATCTGTAAGTTTCTTCAAATGTCTATTCATGATTAAGACAGATCACTTCCAGGGTTTCTTTTTCTTTTTTTTTGTTTGTTTGTTTTTTTAAATGGTGCTGGGGATTGAACCCAGGACCTTGTGCATGTGAGGTAAGCACTCTACCCACTAAGTGATATCCCCAGCCCCTTTAGATTTAAAGAGAAGAATGGTAAAAAGGGACTTTCTGTTTCTGAAGATTGGTTCATCACCAGATACAAAGCTAGCTATACGACCATGGGACTCCTCCCAAGAAAGGTGGCTTAAAATAAAAAAAAATAGTGTCTTGCTATTTTGCCTAGGCTGACCTTTAACCTCCAGGGCTCAAGTGATCCTGAGTAGCTGGGACTATAGGTGTACAACATCATACCAGGCTTAAGAATGGAGGTTTGAGTCAGGAATGGTGGCACCCACCTCTATTCCCAGCAACTCGGGAGGCTGAGGCAGGAGGATCATAAGTTCAAGACAAGCTTTAGCAACTTAAGTAAGATCCTGTCTCAAAATAAAAAATAAAATGGGCTTAGGGATGTGTGGTTCAGTAGTTAAGCACCTCTGGGTTCAATCCCTGGGACCAAAAATAAATGAAGGTAGAACAGCCCTGGGTTCAACCTCCAAGCATAACAAAACAAAACAAACAAAAAGGTCACCATGGTGAACTAGAGGTATTCAACATGGAGGAAACTAAAAAAATGTGAAGAAAGTTGGCATCAGATCCCAAGAATGGGCTTGGAGTTAAAGCCAGTGTTTTCAAAGAGTTTGAAAAGTAAAATATATTTGAAGTCAACATATGACACTTCTCCTAAGGCATACCATGGCCTCTTAAAATGTGCCTCTTGGTATTCCACCCAGACCAAAGAAAGGACTTCCATGCCTTTCTAGGCCTACTCAAACTTGACTGTATAATTGCCTTCCAAATAAACAGCCCCAAACAGTTCAGCCTCAAAACGGGAGCATTTTAAATGCAGGCCAAAGTCATTGGGAAATAAGCCTCCCACCCAATATACAATAGAACCACTGTCATCAGCCCTGCCTAGTGAACCATTTTCTGCAGCATAAGCAACTAAAGCTGCACACCAATTTATACCTCAGTGATGTTGCTGCACAAATAAGGAAGTGTATAATGCTACCTTTGCCTCTTTAATTGGAGAACAGGCCAGGCCAGATGGTTGTGGGGTGGAACCTTACAAAAATGCCGGATGACCAGAATGAGATTTTCTGCTCTATCAGCTCAGGCTCTAATTTTGACTTCAAGAAGCTTATGGGACAGGATTAAAGCACTGGTGCTGTCTTGTCTTCAGCTAAAGATAAGTGTGATCACTGGATGAGTTCTTTAATTTTTTTTACAAAGCTATGGACAATTTCTAGAGCTTCTATATAAAATATTCATGAAAGTGTGGTAAGATTAGAGTGCTTAGAAATACCTATCCTTTAATAAAAGGAACAGGTAGATTTGTTAAGCTGCAGAAAATTCTTGAAATCTTTTTCAACTAAAAGGCCAGAAAGGTGGCAAAAAAGCATATGTGTGTTTGTGTGTGTGGGGATAAATTTTTAATAGCAAAATCTCCACTTCTGTCAGTGTATTAAAGTTACAAATGCAATTTCTGTCTAGTTTCACCAAGAATTTTATCCTCCTTGTGGTGGCGCAAGCCTGTAATCCCAGGGACTCTGGAGGCTGAGGCAGGATTGCAAGTTGAAAGTCAGCCTCAGCAACTCAGTGAGACACTGTCTCAAAATAAAAATAAAACATTACAAAGGAGTGGGTATATGGCTTAGTGGTTAAGGGTCCCTGCGTTCAATTGCTCCTATAAAACACACACACACACACACACCAAAAAAAAAAAAAAAAAAAAACCAATCTCATCCTCCGGAATTTGCTTACTTTCAGCCACAAGGTTAAACCTGGATTCAGATCCCTTGTGCTGACTTGTGTTTTTAACAGTAAGTTTATAGGCAAAGATGTGGGGAGACGCTGAAGGAGGCCTCGGTCTATACAGATTCCAAAGAGGACTAGTGAACAGAAACCCCGATCCCCTTATTGTGGATGGAACCCAGGGCCTCGCACATGCTAGGCAAGCACTCTACCATTGAGATACACCCTAGGCCCTTTTAATTTTACTCTGCAACACGGTCTTGCTAAATTGCCCAGGCTGGACTCGAATTTGCAGACCTTCCGGCTTCAGCAAGGATTACAGGCGTCACGGAGCACCACGAGAGACAAGCTCTTTTTGTTGTTGTTGTTCTTAGTTATACATGACAGTAGAATATTTTGAAATATCTATACAAACATGGAGTATATCTTATTCTAATAAGAAAGAGAAGCAAGTTTTTAACAAAGAAGCAGTTGTGTTTTTAAAAAGGGTTGAAGGGACAATGGTGAAAGAATCCACTGGGCCCCAAATCTATAAAAATATTCAGGCACCTGAAACCCTTAACACTGACATCACCCCACAATCAAGCACTATAGGATGCTCTGGATTTGAGCAAGGCCGGGAGAGGCGGCAGCCAGCCCTGGGGTCCCCGTCTGCAGAGCGCAGGTCACCGCGAGGCCCCGCCCCACCGGCGGTCCCTAAGCAGCGGCCCGGTCCCTAAAGGCGGCGTGGGCTGAATGTTTCCAGGGCTGGAGCTGACCTCGCCCTGCTGGGTCTCACTCCCACCCACCCCAAATGTGGCCCGGGCATCACTGGGCGCGACCCGCAGGGCTCTCCCAAGGAAGGGCCCGCCAGCCTCCCCGGCGGCCGGCACGCTCTGCACTCCGGGAGCCGCAGCGCCCAGGCCGCTCAGGCAAGCGCGGACGCGTGACCTACTTCTGCGCACACTACACTTCCCTGCGCGCTCCGCGGGGGCGGGTCAGCCGGCCCAACCACGCATGCCCGGCAGGGGCACCTGGCCGAGGGTCGGAGCCGAGGAAAAGTTTCCGACGCACATGCGCACTGCGCGGCGGGCGCCCCCTCCCATCGCAAGACAGTTCGTCCAAATCTACCCACTAGGCCAGCTCGCGGTTCGTACCACCCACCGCGTCCGTACGAGGGGAAGAACTTTCCCCATCTCTCTCCACTGCCTCCGAAGACTGCTGAATTAGGGACCTGCTTCCAATGAGTTTTTCTGGGAGAAAGGGGTGGGCTGGGATAGACAAGGCCTCGCCCTCCCACCCCCACCGCTGAATCTGAATTCCAAGGGTGGGCAGCCGCTGTCTGGAGTTGCTGTAGGGACTGACGGTGGACTCAAAGAGAAAGGAGCCTTTTCCACTTAATGTCCAGTAGGCTCGGCTCCAGCACCCCACAGTCAGGAAAGGAAAAGCAGGAACTGGATCCAGTTCTGTCGGCAATCAGAAGGCCCAACGTCAGGGGGGCTCAAACCTTACCCCACTTCTAATCCAAGTCTGAAAAAGGATTTCAGGGAAATGGGGAAGGTTCTCAGCTGGGAAGGAAAAACTGCACATCGGAAACCTGAACACCTTCTAATATTTAAAATTCTGCGTGAGTCTCCTCCCACTGCAAGGCCTACTCTATGACCAGACTTACCAGATCCTCTGCAAAGCTTCCCTACAGGGTGTTAAACCTCCCTAATCCGGCCTCCCACACAAGCTGCTTTTCTCAATGCTTAAGAGAGGGAAGGGGGTAGGCGACAAGAAAGCAAGAGGGATGTTTTTCTACTGAGAATCAAATGAGGGACCTACTCCCAGGTGGGGTGGGTAGGAAGGTAAAAAACAATAGGTTGGACAGTGAGAAGGCATCCAAGACCCTGTCTGCTGGTCCTCAAGTTGAAGCCCCGCGTGTGGGGTTCGGCTGCTCCAAGGGGAGGAGAGGGTCAGCCGGCTGTGCCTTCCATTTGCTCCCTCCCTTCTCCCCAGATACCTGGTCAAGGGCACAATCCATTCTCTGGACTGGAAAAGGAATTTAGGAGTAGGGCCCTTCTTCCCAGGGACCCTATGTAGATCAAGTAGAATCCACTAGCTGGCATAGTCCTACTGGTACTTTTTTACGCGCAGTTTTCCCTTTAAGCCAAGAAGATAAAGATTTCAAGCTGAAATGAATTCTGGCTGAGTGGTTCAAGGACAGTTCCCTCTAATCGGTCTCATACCCAAGAAGGAGTGTTCAACCTTCATCCTTCAGGCTCCAGAGAACCAGAAATAATCCATATTAATTAGCAACCCCATTTCATGCACACGGGAAAAGCAGAAAAAGGCCTGGATCCCCTTCCTTCCTCTCATTTATTTAACGATGGCAGTGGGAGGTATGTTTCTTTGGGGAACAAGGAAAATCTAGCGAGTATCTGGGATATAAGAACTGGGGAAGGAGGAAGGGAAGAAATGCACTCCATCCAGGAGAGGCCACTCTTGCACCTGGGAGAGAAGGTGGCTCTTGGGTACCGCAGGATCAGAGACAGGGTAGAGGAGCAAGGGAGAAGTGTGGGCGGTTCTAAAAGGAAGATAGAAGGGGCGAGGAAAATGCTGGCCGGGCGGGGGAGGGGGTGACAGCGACGTGGAGTGTCCAGCAAAGCCAAGAGCCGGAGCAAGGGCGGGGTGGGGCAGGTTGTCCAGCCGGTGGGTGTCAGCCCCCCCCCGTCCGCATGCCCCTGCACTCACTCGGGTCTCCGCGGCGGCGGGATGGGCTGCGGGTCGCCAGGTGTCTTCTCCTGCCAGGGTGGTCCTGGGCCCGGGGCAGAGGTCGCTCTCCCTGCTTTCTCCGGCGCTGCGAGGCCGGGGGCCGATGTGTCCTTTTCGTCGTTGAGGGCTGGGAGCAAGGAGGAGGTTACGGGCTATAACTCATAATTCTTTCAGCTTTTTTGGAGGTCGGACTCGGCGGCAGGGGACGGACGACCGCGGGCAGGCCGGCCGGCGGCGACAACACTAGGATGGCGGCCCAGAGGGTGGCTCGCGTCGCGGGGCGGAGGACGGACTGCTGTAGTCGGCGGACGACCTGGCCCTCCTGGCCCCGCGTCGCCCGAGCCACTAGCTTTTCTCCGCCCACGACCCGCACCCTCCCGCGCCCCGGCCAGAAGTGAGCAAAGTCAATGAAAAGTTTCACCCTTAGCAACCCTGCGCACGGATCCGACTTCCCCACCCCTGCGTGATGCGTCCCTCCGCCGGCGGGGCGGGGCTGGGCGTCCGGCCGGGACTACTTCCCTGCCGGCCCGCGGCTTAACCCTTCCGGCCCCGTAGCCGGCTGGGCGTGGGACGCAGGCAAAGGCTGCGGGGAGTCTCTCTTCTAGACCCTCTCGCGTCGCCACCTCCTCCGCCTGGCTGTCTGTCTTCCCTTCCCCATCAACACTGCCGTGCCGTATTTTCTTGCGGCCCCAAGCCACTCTCTGAGCTCGTGCTTAGCGTGTAAGGAGCATCCCCAGATAGACGGGGAGCTCCGTGAGGGCAGGCACCGGGCTGAAACACGGTGGGCGCTCACTCCAGCTGCTGGACGGAGGCTGTCGGGGGTGGGGCGGGCACAGCTTGCCCCAGGAAGCTCTCCCCTAACCTCCGACCCTGCACCTACCGGGGCGCCGGCGGTACGCAAGTTTACGTTTGTCCGAACTATTTCCCACCGAGGCTACCTTGGCGCGCCCCTCCAGCTCTAGGCGCCTTGTCCCCCCACGCTCGCCCAGTTGCGACCTCCTTGGGTGAGAGATCTAGGGGCACCTCTTGAGCTCTGGAAAGGTTTCGGACCTGAGCTCGCATTGGCCTGAGTTTTCCGAGCGCGGCTCGCCTCGTCGTCGTACGCGAAAAGTCGAGAGGAGGGCGAGGGGGAATGGGGCCTGGGGCACGCTGTGCGGGATGAAGAGGCCGATGGCCAGCAGCTGAGTAACCTCTTGACACCAGGTTCCCCGTGCAGGGAGAGGGCCTGCTCCACGCAGACTCGCAAGCGCCGCCCCCCAGCCAACGCTCCAGTTGGCTCTCCCCAGCCCGCGACCCCTACGAGGGCTAGGAGAGCCACGCTAATTCTAGGAATAGCCCCGCGGAGTGGTGTGGCGCCTGCCCACAATAGGCCCGACGGGCCCGCACACCCGACGGTCCCTCAGGCAGCGGAGCAAGACTTTCCGAACCCGGGATGGGTTCCCTCTGCCGGGATCTCGGCGGTGCAGACCACTTTGCCTCTTTGTGACAGTGTGGGGCAGAGTAGGGGGTAGGGAGGTCTGTGACCGGTGAGGTCAGGCGGACAGGACTGCCGGACGGCGAGGTCCGGAGCCCTGGGTGGGGATGTTTGCTCAGGAGTCTACTCCCTCCTCTGCCCACTCCCCAATACTCCCCCCCCCCCGCCTTTATTCTCGTTCCTGACCGTTCTGGACCAACGGCAGCCTCCGAACCCACGTGGGGTGGTGAGATCGGAAAGTTTCCAGTTACGGTTTGCATTTTATTTTCCTTGATCACTTTTTTTGGCAAGGACCGAACGCCAGCGTGGGGGTTTAAATGTATTCTCCTTGACAGCAGCAGAGAAACATCGGGCTGGAGGGCAAACTCCACTAAGACGGGGAGGCGGGAGGGAGCCCGAGGGCGACAGCGACCATCCCCCACATTCAGAGCGCTCCACCCCGGGACACCTCCAGGGACTACTTGCCTCGTGCGTCAGCGAGTGGCAGCGCGTCATACACACGCCCCTCCGCCTTTCCTCGCTTCACCCGCCCCTTTTTTCTCCTCCCCTCCCCAGTTCGCGGGTTCCACCTCGGCAGCGAGACTCAGCCCACCACTGGTACCCAAGCACCCAAAGCTAAAAATATAGCAGGCATGTTAGCAACAGCCTTTTTATTGGCTGGCGGGTGGGCAGAGGCGGCTTCGGGTTGGGTTTCGGATGTAACCGCTAGGACTGCGCCCTGGGGAAGGTGCCTTTTGAGCAGTGGAGCACGGCAAAGCTTGCTGGTATTTGTAGTCAGTAATTACTGCCTTGGAAATAGATGGGTTTACGTCCCATTTCTGCCACCGTGAGATCTTGATTTAATGCAACAAGCTTTACTTCATCAAACCTTAAGTTTCCTCGGGTATAAAAGTGGAGATCATGTGGAGTATTATCCTGTATGTAAAGCCTGGATCAAATCGTTTTTTTTCCCCCCTTCTTTCCTATACAAGGGATTGAGCCCAGGGGCACTAACTCCGAGCCACATCTTTTTTTTTTTTTTTTTTTTTAGCGGCATGAGGCGGGGAAGGTCTCGTTAAATTGTTGAGACTGGCTTGAACTTGTGATTCTCCAGAGCCGCTGGGATTGCAGGCCTTCGCCACCGCACCCGACTCGAATAGTTTAACTTCAAACATTTTGACCAACTTGCATCCTTCCTGCCCTGCACTTACTTGGTGTGCATGCCCCAGGGGAAAACTTTTCAGGGCCTAAGGATGAAAAAGGTGAGGGTGAGTTGGAAAGAGTTGCCCCAGGGTATCTTAGGAAGGAGAACAGAGTCCTTAAAAATAGGAGATGCTGTGGCAGACGCCTGTATCCCAGCAGCTCCGGAAGCTGAGGCAGGAGGATCCGGAATTCAAAATCAGCCTCAGCAAAAGCGAGGTGCTGAGCAACTCAGTGAGACCCCTGTCTCTAAAAAAAAATACAAAATAGGGTTGGGGATGTGGCTCAGTGGTCCAGTGCCCCTGAGTTCAATCCCCAGTACCCTAAATAAATAAATAAACAGGAGACCTCATGCTGAGGGAGGGCAGACTAAGAGGGAAGGCCTTACAGTTTCTGCGTGTTAGTGCTTTTATATGAACCTGTCCTACTGTACTGGAACGCCAGCACTGAGCAACATCACTAAGACAAAACGGAGAAGAACTGGAACTCTGGGTAAAGTGTTAGCATATAAAGGAAAGATAAAATAGAGAGGGAAAAAAGTTAATCACCCTTCTTAAGTGCTGATGTCTCCATCTAGCATGTGGTGAGGTGGAAGTTTTTCTCTTCCCATCATGTGACTTCACCTTGCTTACTTGTGAGCTGAATTCCTCAAGCATTCCAGATTCCCCTCCCATTTTGAATAATTATATATCTAAAGGTACACACCATGCTTTCAAAAATGGTGAATTTTAGAAGCAAGTGAGTAGAGGGTGGGGATAACTCTCCTGAGAATAAAGCAAGTTATGCCAGATGTTTTGGTGTCAGTGACAAGTCAGGTTGGTCATAATTGGCCCCAATTAACTCTCAGGATGATTCACTCTCTCATCCACACATGCCAGGATGTGAAATTTTGCATTGTTTCTTTGAAGTTGTCCAAGAAACTCCATGTCTCAGTCTGATTCTTTGGATCCACTGCTGCAGCTGGGCAGGAGCACACAGCCACAACAGAAACTGACTTTGGGAAGAGTGATTGGCTGACGAGGAAAATGGTTTGCCAGTTATCCACCAAGACTGTGAATTCTAGTAAACAAGGTGAGGGAACAAACTTGCTTTTGCTAAGACACTAAAATTCAGTGTTAAAGTAATATCTTAGCCTTGGGGAAGCTACTTGGGGATAGAGTTGATAAGGAACTGAACATCTAAGAAAAGATGGAAATAATTTCAGTTTTTAAGGCAGGAAATTTCCAACCAAGGCAAAGAGTCTTTCACTTTCAGTCTTAGCTTCAAACTATGTTTACAAAGGTGTAGGTTGGGCCAGATGCAGTGGTACGCAGCTGGAATCCCAGAAGCTTGGGAGGCTGAGGCAGGAGGATCACAAATTCAAAGCTTCCTCAATAATTTAGCTAAGGCTCTAAGCATTTATGGAAACCCTGTCTCAAAATAAAAAAGAGCTGGTGATATGGCTTAGTGTTAAGTGCCCCTGGTTCAATCCTGTGGCTCAGAGGTTATGTGCCCCTGAGTTCAATCCCTGGTATATAAAAAAATAAATAAAAAAGAAGGAAAAAATACAAAGATACATGTCTGGGCCATGTATAGAGGCACATGCTTGTAATCCTAGAGACTCTGGAGGTTGAGGCAGAATGATCCCAAGTTTGAGGCCAACCTGAGCAATTTAGGAAGAACCTATCTCAAAAGGATTGGGAATATGACTGAGTAGTTATATACCCCTGGGTTTAATCCCCACTAAGTTTAGTCCCTGGGAAGTTAATTTCAGTAATTTAGAGGCTGCTAATTGGCAAACCAAGATACACATCTGGTGGACGCATTTCCTTGGCATATATTGATATCTGAGGGTTTAAAAGTGAGTTGCCGGTCTGGGGTTGTAGCTCAGTGGTACAGTGCTTGCCTTGAACTGGGTTTGATCCTCAGCACCATATAAAAATAAATAAAATAAAGATATTGTGTCTATCTACAACTAAGAAAAATTTTTAAAAAGTGAGTTGCCAAAATTTAAAAATTGGGATATTGCACAAAAATACCTTGGTTGCCTCTTGTCCTAAATTCAAAGTGTCTGCCAATACTAGGCATTCAAGCTGGCAGCAATTATCTGCTGCTGAATAGCAGCTGTCTCCTTTAGTCTTGGTCAACTAACTCTCTGGCTCCCTAAGGTCCTCACCACTCCCTATTGTCTTCCAGAAGCTGAGGCTGAGAGTAATATACCATTTAAAAATACAGTTGGAGCTGGGTGTGGTGGTGTGCACCTGTAATCCCAGTGACTCAGGAGGTTGAGGCAGAAGGATGACAAGTTCAAAGCCAGCCACAGCAATTTAGCGAGGCCCTAAGCAACTTAGTGAGACATTGTTTCAAAAAATAAAAAACAAAAAGGGCTGGAGATGTGGCTCAGTGGTTAAGAATCACTGGGTTCAATCCCTGGTATCAGAAAACAAACAAAAACAAAAAATCACAGTTGGATTATTTTCTTTCTTTTTTTGGAGTACTGGGGGTCAAACCTGTTCTACCCCACCTTTTTAAAATTTTGAGACAAGGTCTTACTAAATTGCTGAGTCTCACATAGAATTTGTGGATTTGCAGTCCTCCAGTTAGGGGGGGTGGCACACTCCTATAATCCCAGCCTGTAACCCGAGCTACACAGGAGACTGAGACAGAAGGATCACAAGTTCAAGGCCAGCCTCAGGAATTAGCAAAGACCTAAGGAACCTAGTGAGACCCTATTTCAAAAATAAAAAAAGCTGAGCACCTCTGGGTTCAATCCCTGGTACCAAAAACAAACAAACAAACACACAACAACAACAAAAACGTGATTCCCCTGCCTCAGCCTCTCAAGTTGTTAAAATTAGAATTACTGGCATGTTTCACTGCTCTTGGTTTTAGGCTATTTTTCCAACATCCTTCCCTTTTTTGTGGTAATAGAGATTGAACCCAGGGTGCTGCACATGCTAGGCAAAGCACTCTACCACTGAGCTACATATCTCCAGCTCCATGCCTTTTTTTTTAGTCAGTTCTATTATTCCCTTAAATTCCCAAGTTTGTGAGGTCTTTCTTTTTTTTTTTCCAGTATGAGGGATTGAACCCACACATTCCTTACCACTGAGCTATAGTCCTATTCCTTTTTATTTTGAGAAGGAGTCCTGATAAATTGCTGAGGTTCTTACTAAATTGCCAGGCTAGCCTCAAACCTGTGTTCCTCCTATCTCAGCCTCCTGAGTCATAGGATTTTAGATGCTTTGTGTGTGTGTGTGTGTGTGTGTGTGTGTGTGTGTGTATATATATATATATATATATATATATATATATATATAAAACATATATTATTTTCTTGGTCTCTGATGATCAGAAAGAAAACCAAGAATGACATTATGAATTGGATGACAGAAGAGCAGGTTTCTGTGGAATTAACTGGGCTAGGATAAATGGCCCAGTGCCCTTCAACCAGTACAGAAGGGGCATGCCCTTTGAGGTCCTCTTTGGTATTAAGATTAAAACTCTCTTGAAGACATTGTAGAAGCATACTCACTGAATCACCATGCTAAAAGAGTACTTACACAGCATGTGCCTAGGCCCTGGGTTTGATTCCTGGTACCAGCAGGGGAAAAAAACAAAAAAAAATGGTTTAGCATGGTGGCGCACACCTGTAATTCCAGTGATTCAAGAAGCTGAAGCATGGGGTTTAAAATTAGAGGCCAGCCTTTGAAATTTAGGAAGACCCTGTCTCAAAATTTAAAAATATAAAGGCCTGGAGGATGTGGCTTAGAGGTAAAGAGACCCTGGTTTCAATCTTCAGTACAAAATTAAAAAAACAAAAACAAGACTTTTGATTTATTATTACATACTAAAAACTATAGTTACTATAGAATCAATTACAAATTTTAATTATAATCTAAAGATGATCTGATCTTTGCCCCCCTTTTCACATACCATAAGTCCAATACTTTGTTTTTTTGGTACTAGGGATTGAATCCAGGGATGCTTAACCCCTGAGCTACATCCTCAGCCATTTTTTTGATAGTCTTGCTAAACTACTGAGGCTGGCCTTGAACTTCCAGTCCTCTTGCCTTAGCCCCCAGAGGCACTGGGATTACAGGTGGGTGTCACTGCACCTGATATTTTAGGTGCAGGAACTGTATGGAGTTCCTGGAATACATAACCCTGTTCAGGACTGCCTTTCCTGAAATTATTTTCCCCACATGTGCCCTCATTTGCCCACGCACCACCTTTGCTTGCAAGTTCCCATACTTCAAAGCTCAGTTAATTTTCTTGCCTCCGGAACTTCAGTTATTCATTCAACACTGTACACCCACCATCTGCTGGGCAGAACACAGCCTAGTAGGTGACAGTCAATAATCATTAAATGCTTCCAGGAAACACACAGGGTACTATGGGGGAGAAGGGCAAGTTAAATTGGGGATTAGGAGAGATAACTGGGGAAATCTTTGGTCAGGTCTGAAGGATGAGGCAGTAGCTGAGCAAAACAAATGTGGGGGCAGGGGTGGGAGATCATCACAGAAAAAACAAGATTAAAAAAGGAAAGGGGGGGGGAGGGGTGTCCGGGTTGTGTTTCAGCGGTAGAGCACTCAACTGGCATGTGAGTGGCCCTGGGTTTGATCCTCAGCACCACATAAAAATGAATAAAAATAAAGGTATTGTGTACAACTACAACTAAAAAATAAATATTAAAAAAAAAAAAAAGTTAAACTGGGGCAGAGCTGGGCTCCATGGCATAGGCCTGTAATCCTAGCGGCTCAGGAGGCTGAGGCAGGAGGATCCTGAGATCAAAGCCAGCCTCAGCAAAAGTAAGGTGCTAAGCAACTCAGTGAGACCCTGTCTCTAAACAAAATACAAAATTGGGCTGGGGATGTGGGTTAGTGGTCAAGTGCCTCCTGGGTACCCCATGCCCCCTGTAAAAGAAAGAAAAAATAACGTAGGGACAGAAAGGAAAGCAGAAGCTGAAGAACTGAAAGGAGTCCCAGTGGCTGGAGTGTAAAGCATAGGAGTGGTAGAGAACACCTGGAAAAACCTCCAGGATTACTTTTTTTTCCCCCCAAGTACTGGGGATGGAGCCCAGGGCCTTATGCATATTAGGCAAAGACTACCACTAAGCTCTTCCCTAGCAGGATCTTCAGCCTTCCTGAGGTGCCTCAAGAAGCTGAAGCAGGCTGTTTGTAAATTAGAGGCCAGCCTTGGGAATTTAGGAAGACCCTGTCTCAAAATTTAAAAAAATATAAATTCCTGAGGTGCCCCCCAAGCTAGGCCAACCCTTCTTTAGTGCATCCTCTGGGTTGTAGTGGTACTGTTTCTGTCACATTGTTCAACTCCCAAGGTAGAGACTAAATTTTGGAAACTCAATACAGCACAAATAATCAGTTTGGTTGACACAGACAAAAACGCGGGATCAGAAGTTTTCTTGGCTCTATTACTAAGTGGCACTGTAAACCTGGGCCAAGTTCCTGATGCCCTTTTCAAATCTATGGTGTAAGAGACCTACTTGACTGTACATATCAAACTATCTCCTCAAATAACACACTCATCAACCTCGGCAGGCAACTCAGTGAGACCCCGTCTCTAAATAAAAATAAAAGGAAGGTCTGAAGATGTAGCTCAGTGGTTGAGTGCCCCCTAGTTCAATCCCTGGCACCAAAAACAAACAAATAAAGTAGGATAGGAAGGAAAAAATAATTTCTAAAAATGACTTAGAATGAAAGGCATGGGTGGTTCTGAATTCATCCCAGTAATAAAAAGAGGACAAAATGCATTATGAAACCCCACTACCTCTAGATTGAGTCATCAGTTCATGGGGGTCTACAATAAATTCCTAGAGTTAGGCTAAAGGGGGACAGTGACTGACTACCAGAAAATAAACACTGACTTTATTAACAACATCGACAGAAAGGGTTTCCAATTTCTCAGAAGAAAACTAACATGAAACCAGCACCACCTGGTAAGCGTTACAAGATTAAATGCTCACATCACATTTATTGTTCTGATAGCTCACTGCCACACACTGAAGGGTCATCAGGACAACTGCCATCAGAGCTGCTGCAAGAACAAGCTTTTTACTGGGGGGCAGATTCATAGTCAGCTCCTTTGACAGCTGACTGCAAGGATATTCCTGTTCAGCTCTTGGTGTAGAGAAGACAAATCAATTTAGAGAACAGAGTCTTGCTTCTCAAATTCAAGAAAAACCATTAAATAACCAATTAGTTTTTCTTGGACTGTCTGTCAGTGCACTATGAAGAATCCTTTTCCATCCCCACCCTTGTCTGGGTGAGGGGAGGAAAGGGTGGCAAGGGGCCAACACACTAGCAGGTGGTTTTGGTGACATGCTGGGCTCTGCTCCCTTTCTGCTGGTGATAGTAGGCGTCTTTCTTGGCAGCTGCAGCAGCTTGATGGGGGAGGCAGGGGCCACCCACTGATCACCTCTTTTTAAAGCCATATTTTTTGCGTTCATAGAAGAGATCTGTCTTAGAGCTCCCCAAATTGACAATCTTTGGGCAACCATCTCTCTGGAAAACAGAATAGAGAAACTGGTAAGTCAGAATCTGAATCAAGAGGAACTGAAGATATAATTCACTACAGAGGAATAAAAGTTAATCTTTTGCCCTAGTATTTGAAGACCATAACAGGTTTGGGGGTGTGCTCAGTAGTTAGACTGCTTGCTTAGCATCTGCAAGGCCTGGGTTTGATTCTCATATCTCAGCCCCTCAAAAGTTAAGAAACAACAATGAAAGGATTTGCAAATGTGTACAAGCAACCCTAGCTCCTTAAATGGGAGGTTCAGATTAATTAGCACCAAAGGGAAGTGTTTCTTCTCTATCACTTGAGTTTTCAATGATCATTTTATAAATTTTAGGTTAATGGTTTAGTTAGTTATTCATCTTTCCAATTATCCTATTTAAATTTTTTTTTAGTTGCTGATGGACCTTTATTTTATTTTTTAAAAGCAGAATTTAATTTTTTTTTTAAAGAGAGAGAATTTTTTAATATTTAGTTTTCAGTGGACACACATCTTTATTTTTATGTGGTGCTGAGGATCGAACCCAGCGCCCCGTGCATGCCAGGTGAGCACGCTACCGCTTGAGCCACATCCCCAGCCCCTCGACCTTTATGTGGTGCTGAGAATCGAACCCACTGCCTCACACATACTAGGCAAGTGCTCTACCTCGGAGCCACAATCCCAGCCCCCCCATTATCCTATTTGATCTATTAAGAATTTACAAGTTGGTGCACCTATAATCCTTGTGACTTGGGAGGCTAAGGCTGAAAGATCCAAGCCAGCCTTAGCAATTTAGGGAGACCCTAAATAACTCAGTGAAACCTTGTCTCAGGGGGCTGGGGTTGTGGCTCAGTGGTAGAGCGCTCACCTCGCATGTGAGAGACCCTGGGTTCGATCCTCAGCACCACATAAAACATACAAATAAAATAAAGATATTCTGTCCATGTATAACTAAAAAACAAAAACAAAACAACAACAACAAAAAACTCTGTCACTAGGGATGTAGCTCAGTGCAGGTTATATTTACTGAATATCTAGATATCCAGAAAGTCCTCCGGAGCCTGCCCACTCTCTATTCAGTGACTGCAATTATATTTAAGAATATTTGATTCAACAGGGTGTGGCAGCACATGCCTATAATTCCAGTGACTCATAAGGCTGAGGCAGGAGGATCACAACTTTTGAGGCCAACCTTAACAACTCATCTAGAACCTATCTCAAGGGATGTAGTTCAGTAGTACAGCATCCCTGGGTTCAACAGCTCAATTCTGTTGCTGGTATGACACAGTGCAGGTAGAACCTGAAACTTTTTTTGGGGGGGGGGGTGGGCGGGATGGGTGGGTGACTGGGGATTAAATTTAGCAGTGCTTTACTACTACATCCCCAGCCCATTTTATTTTTATATTGAGACATGGTCTTGCTAAATTGCTTAGAACCTTGCTAAGTTGCTGAGACTGTTCTTGACTTGCAATCCTCCTGTCTCAGCCTCCTGAATTGCTGGGACTGCAGGCATATACCACTGCTTCTGGCCTGAAAACATATTTTTGGCAACAGGAAACTGAACCCAGGCCCTCACACAAACTAAGCAAGTGCTTTATCACTGAGCTACGTTCCCAGTCTTTTTTTTTAAATCTTTATTTGCCTCGCACGTGCCAGGTGAGTGCTCTACCACTGAGCCAAAGCACTGCAGTCCTTTCTTGTTATTAGTTTTTTGGGGTACCAAGGACTGAACTCAGGGGCACTCGACCACTGAGCTACGTTCCCAGCCCTAGTTTATATTTAGAGACAGAGTCTGAATGAATTGCTTAGAGCCTCACTTTCGCTGAGCTGGCTTTGATCTTACGATTCTTGTGATTGAGCCTCCTAGGCTATTGGGATTACAGGCACGTGCTACCACGTCCAGTCCTCCCTTTTATTTTGTGCTCAGGTTGATCTCAAATTTGGAATCTTCCGTCCTCAGGCTATTGAGTAGCAAGGATTACGTGTATACCATGTGCCTAACCAGAATCTGAACTCATATGTCCAAAGAATTTTGTTCAACTGAGGGATTAAAAACAATCAGGGCTAGGGTTGTAGCTCAGAGGTATAGTGCTTGCCTAGCATGTGTGAGGCACTGGTTTTGATCTTTAACACCACATAAAAATATAAAAAAAGAAAGGCATAGTGTCCATCTACAACTTAAAAACAAAAACAATTAACTTCAGTCAAGTGCTCTAGTTCTCCTGGATTATCCCAGAATGGAGAGGATACCACCAAAGGGAAAAACCTAAAGGCTTTAGGAGGGTTTCACAAAGTGTCTTGTTAATTCACTTGATTTAATCCAAACACCGATCCCCGCACCCCCAGCACATGCTTTGTAAGTGCTCTACCACTGAGCTGCACCCAAAGCTAAATCACTTCATCTGAACAAATACATGGTTTTGCAGAGGGCCTGTGCTAAAGGTGGTGTTGAGTTTGTTCTGATTTGTAATGACATGCTGCTCCCTTGGCCATTCTGAGAGCTGAAGTGGTTTCAGTGAAGCTTCCAGGAAGCCTCGTGGGGCAGGAATGACTCCATCACTTGATCTGGGATGCAGGGAAGACAGCTGGAGAAGCTGTAACTGGAAAAAAACCTTAAAGGTCTGTTGATTTTAAGACACCCACATCAAAGGAGTTGGATTCCTGTCATATTAGACTATAGAATAAATTAATCACCTTAGTCCTCCAATTTCTAACTCAGTTTCTTTCGGGGGGCCTAATATCAATACAGAAATTTTTGTCTGAGAACATACAAAGCCAACATTGCATGATTTTCCAGAAAACATGTACTCTGTATTACAGGAGTGCTCCCACCTGTGGTGCCTGGTGTATGAGGGAACTAGCCCCACCAATGGCTCACCAGTTGAGCTATGTATTCAATCTGTTTTTGTGTGTGTGTGTGGGGGGGGCTGGGGGGGGAGTACTGGGGATTGAACCCAGGGGATTTTAACCACCAAGCCATATCCTCAACTTTTTTATTTTTTGGTACCAGGGATTGAACTCAGAGGCATTCAACCCCTGAGCCAGAACTCCAGCCCTTTTATGAATCTTATTTAGAGACAGGGTCTGAGTTGTTTAGTGCCTCACTTTTGCTGAAGCTGGCTTTGAACTCACAATCCTCCTGAGTTGCTGGGATTACAGGCGTGTACCACCTTGCTTGGCGCCTTACGGAGTCTCACTAAGTTGCTTAGGTCCTTGTTAAATTACTAAGGCTGGCTCTGAACTTTCGATCCTCCCGCCTCTGCCTCCTGGGTTGCTGGGATTACAGGTGTGTGATACCGCACCTGGCTTTACTCTGTGTTTAAAATCCTTTTTTAACAAAGTAAGAATCAAAACAGATGTTGTCCCAGGGCACTTGGGAGGCTGAGGCAGGAGGATTTTAAGTTCAAAGCCAGTATCAGCATTTAGCGAGACCCTAAGCAACTCAGTGAGATCCTGTCTGTTAAAAAAAATATAAAAAAGGGGTGGGGGGGGGGGGCCTGGGGTTGTGGCTCAGAGATGGAGCACTTGCCACCCATGTATGAGGCACATAAAAATAAATTAATAAAATAAAGGTATTATGTCCATCTAAGGAAAAAAAAATAGATGGCTAGGTTGCATGCCTATAATCCTAGCAGTGTGAGAATTTGAGGCAGGAAGATCACAAGTTCAAAGCCAGCTTCATCATCAACTTAGGTCCTAAGGAAATTAATGAGACCCTGTCTCAAAATAAAAAATAAAAAGGGTGAATGTTTTTTTTTTTAAATATTTATTTTTTAGTTTTCAGCGGACACAACATCTTTATATGTGGTGCTGAGGATTGAACCCAGGCCACATACATGCCAGGCGAGCGTGCCACCGCTTGAGCCACATCCCCAGCCCCAAAAAAGGGTGAATGTTTGATATCAAATGGGGCAGTGCTCTACTTTCTTTTAAAGGTGCTGTGAAATTTTGTGGTACGAGGATAACCTAGATTTGTGCACTGTGGTAGTCCTTTCTTTTAGATTCATATTCCTCAAGTATAGAACTAGGGACTAGACCATAGACCAGGTCAATGTTAAGAAACTGAAGAGAGCCTTAGAGATTCCTGGGAGGGACCAGATGATGAGAGGATATATCCTCCAGTCTGCACAGCTGCATCCCACTTGGTGAAGGCAGCAGGCCCTGGAGCTAGGCCACCTGACTTTGGATAAGTTATTTAACCTTCTTGAGTCTCAGTTTAGTCACACTTGAGTATAATGGTAGAACCTACCTCGGAGAATTAAATGGATTCGATGGTTCGAAAAATGTTTACAACAATACCTGGCATACTTCATTCCTTAATAAATTATAAGAAATTGCCAAAACAAAAATCAGCAATTTCATAATGGTTCAACCTAACCCTACACTCCCACTAGTTTTGTGTAAAAATCTCTTTTTGTTGTTGGTACTGTGATGGTACTGATTCTGAACCCAGGAATGCTTTACCACTGATCTGAGTATCCAGCCATTTTTATTTTATTTTTGTAATTTTGAGACAAGGTCTCACTAAATTGCTTAGGACCTCACTAAGCTGTTGGCATTATAGGTGTGTCTCCACCCTAGCAAAAATAACCCTGAAATAGCAATAAAAAACCCAGGACTTGACTGGGAATAGAGCTCAGGGGTACAGTGCTCCTGGATTCAATCCAGAGCATCACCAAAATAAATAAATAAATAGCAAGAGTTAAGGGGATTAATTTGCTGAAATGTAATAAACTACAAATTAGTCCTTGGGTGACAATGTCCACAGATGTCATCCCTGGACTCCTGGTTATTTTTGGGCATTGAAAAATTATAATGAGGACACCCAGCTTATCTTACCAGCCGTTATAAATTATGAAAGCTGCAGGAAGCGGGTAACAATAGTGATGGTGGCTTTTGTTGTAGGAAGATTTCTGCATAGGAAAAAGTCTTGGGTACTTAATCTACATGATGATCTGTAAGAACGAGAGACTGGATCATGTCACTGGACTGCTCTGTGTTCCTTGGAAACTAGTGCTGAGTAAATGTGAGCTAAATGCCATCTCAAATATCCTCAGGTCATTCCTGTATAATGTGAAGTAGAGGAAGTGATGTCTAGAATAATTCTTAGAGACCAATGAGGCATAAGGATCCAAAGGTATCAGGTCACACACCACATGCAGAAGAGTCAGACAGCAATTAACATTTATTAAACATTCTCTGGTTGCAAACTTAAGCCAGATAAAAACTCTATCTATAACCACACAAGTTCAAGAAAGTGTCACTAAATGGAGTTTATGCTGGGTGTGGGAGCACACACCTGTATTCCCAGCAGCTCAGGAGGCTGAGGTGGAAGATTGCCAAGAGGAAAGCCAGACTCAGCAACTTAGCAAGGACCTAAAGCAACTTAGTGAGACCCTGTTTCAAATTAAAAAAATAAAGTAAAATGGGCTGGGGATGTGGTTCAGTAGTTTTGTACCTTCTCTTCACCACTTATTGACTGTAAGTAATTACATCTGCTGTGTACCAAACAACCTGTAGGGGGACTAGGGGTAATTTATAGGGACAGCACCAAAAATGTGCACCATTTTGCATTACAAGTCAGACCTGTACCAAGGCCTGAAAAAAGGAGGCACACACAAGATCCAAGGTACTGCCCATAATGGAGTATAATCTAGTTGGTGGAACTGATCCACCATTGTTGGAAGTCAAGTATAATATGATAGTCAAAGGTAAACCAATTTAGGAGAGGAAAATATTCAAATCACCAACTAAAATTACGTTTTTGTTACTTAATCTATGACATTTTATATTTCCTAAATAACAGATTAAATGGTGTAAGAAATAGTTCTTTCTGGCCCAGTATCTTGCACTTCCTAGCAGTAGGCAGGATCCAAACACATACACAACTGAGGTTGTTGGGTTGTTTCTCCTCAACATGGGCACAATATCTGAATGGACAACATGGTATGATGGGAACACCACAAGGTTTTGTCACAGCCTAATTTTGTCATTTATTAGTAGGAGAGAGACGTAAAGATGGGATAATACTAACCGTCCTTATTTAACAAAGTTATTGTGAGGAATATGAAGATAAAAGGTACAAACTACCTCATCTTTGCTCACAGAAATATGAAGAGTTAACATATTTTATCTTATCCTAGATTAGTAGGTCCTAGATCAGTAACAGTGTACTATTAGCCTAGTAAGATTATATCATACTTCCTTACGTTTTCTTGTAAAAAGAAAGCAAGCTGGGGGCCTGCAGCTGTGGCTCAATGGTAGAGTGCTTCCTAGCATGTGTGAGGCACTGAGGATCAAAATTCGCAGTACCACATAAAATAAATAAATAAATAAAGATTGTGTCTGTCTACGAATCTCTCACACACACACACACGAAGAAGAAAAAAGCAAGCTGATCTGTGGTTCCACCACTCCTCACCTAGAACCTGGCTGCCAGTACTAAAGAACAAGGGTAAAACTTGACTTTGGGCAATGATCTACAGGTGCTGTTTTTTTGTCTCTGTCTCAGGGAGCTGAATGACAATAATTAAGAATTAGGCACTGGCACCATATAATATTAAGGGACAAAAATTTGCAAGACCAACAATCACTTCTGCAGTATTAAATAAAGGTGTTCTAGATTAGTGTGGTGGTAGAGCAATACTCCCAGAGACTCAGGAGGCTCTCAAACACAAATGTGAGGCCAGCCTGGGCAACTTAATGAGACCCTGCCTCAAAATAAAAAGTAAAAAGGAGTAGGGATATAGCTCAGTGTTAGAATGTCCCTGGTGGGTTCAAACCCCAGTACCACTTAAAAACAAAAAACATGCATTGTGTGTTAGAACTTACAAATTCAGGATGTTGTTTCTGAATAAGAACAATCATAGAGAGACATCAAAGCAACAGAGAGGGTGCTCCAAACAGCTGGTGTTGACAAAGATTTGCTTGTCTTGCATTTTTGCCCTTGATACAAAATAACAGCCTTTTATTGACTACACCCAGCTTGGCCCAAAGAACTTTTGAGAAATTATAACTTCGGTGATTTGCTGAACACAGTAATTTCTACAGACAGGAGGAAATTGCCATGGATGGCAAAGTGTTACAAAATAATGGGAGGAAAGGTCAGATAGAAAGCTTTGTATTCACTCACATCCTTCTCCTGGATGGTGCATTCTTTACAATAATAGGCATCAGAGACTCCTGGGCCTCCACAGATCACACAGCGCCCCTGGTAAGAACCATAGTTACATTCATCACATATTCGCACCAGAGTGCAGGGGCGCACATAGGAGTCACAGATCACACATTTGCCGTCACCTGTAAGGAAAAAAGAATGTGTCATGTTCACTAGTAAGTATGGGTTGTGAACCCAGGGGCACTCTACCACTTAGGTACATCCCCAGTCCTAATTTTTTTTTTAGGGGGGTGGGGAACTGGGGATTGAACCCAGGGATATTTTACCACTAAACTATTATCCCTAGTCCTTTTTGAGACAAGGTTTCTCTAAGTCCAGGCTGGACTCAAACTTGCCATTCTCCTGCCTCAGCCTCCCAAGTAATTGAGATAACCGGTGTGTGCCACCACTGCCCAGGATATCTCTTTTACAGTGACTTTAGGGCCCTCCTCTACTTTTGCATGGCAAAACTTGGCTTACACAAGTTTTTTTCTATATCTCCTGGACACAAAGGAAAAAAATAACCAGTTAACATATATAAAGGTCTTGGAATTGCACTTAGGAGATTGTAAGCATTGATAATTGCTGGTAAAAACCTGTGTGTGCACACGGGCATGTGAGCTGGAAAGGATAATGGTAGTTTGCCCATTCTTCCTGATCAAACGTGAGACTTCCTTAAAGCTTAAATACAGTGTTTAAAAGTGTGCACGTCAGAGTGGGGCGATAGAAGGCGGCTTTAGTGCAGCCCCACACACGTGTTTCCATCCTCCTCCCGGGCACGTCTACTCCAAGCTTTCTTTGTGGCACCTCTGGAAATGCCCGTATGTTGGCTCCACAGAAACTGAGTGGGAGGAATGGGGTGTTGAGGGTGTGTTCCACTCACATTTTTCACACAGTCTCCCGATGGCTGTAAGACCAAAGAAGGGACAGGGTACAATTAGTATTAAAGTTTTGACAAAGCGGGGAAGCACATCCTCGAGGTCCCGATAGGCGCAAAGGCGGCAGTGAGACTCATGGGAAGGGCATCTTATTCTCGTGAATCTCAATCTGAGCCAAACCCACGGCCAAAGCAACCTCCCGAAGCTCCTCCCAGGCCCCGGGCAATCTGCGGCAGTTTCTTCAGACTTGCGGCGGAGGCCCTGGCCGTCAGCCCCTTTTACCACAAACCCGCGCGCTCCTACAATACCCAGCGACCAAGAGGCGCGAAACGTGGCGACTCCAAGAAAAGACCCTAAAGAGGAATCAAGAATTCCTAGACTCGAAGCGCCTAATATCACCCCACCCACACAAGCAGTGGGCAAGGCCCGCCTCACCAACACCAGCTTGTTTGCGGCAGAATATCAAATCCGGATGATGTTTAGCCATAACTCCCTCCAAGCAAACTACCGGAAGCCTCGGGAACTTCCGTCCAACCTCTAACCCCGAGGGTTCCTGCCTCCACGTCGCGGTGATTGGTCTTCGAGGCTTCTATCAGCGTTTACGCTCTGAGCCAAATCGCGCTAGCTGTCGCGCGATTTTCCTTCATCTGAGGGTAGCTAGGTCTCCGCAGATGCGTAGAACTCTTAAAGAAACAACAACAACAAAACACTCTCCCGGAATTGGAAGGTATAGACTTTCGGATAAGCCATCTTTGCAGCACTGACATCTTTGCTTCTGTGTTTTTTTTTTTTAACTGGGCATTGAACCCAGGCCTTGGCGCATGCTTGGGCTAGTGTTTTTATTCAGCTTTTTTTCCCCCTCTCACGCGTCGATTCCTAACACGTGAGCTCCTCCTACTGCCTTCTCAGGGCAATGGAGCCGGTATGGAGGCCTCGCCTTCCCCGTGACGTAGCGCTCTCGAAGCCACGCCCCCACCACGGCTTTAAATAAGCTGTGTGGCACGTCACTTTTACGCGACCTCATCTTTGTCAGTGCACAAAATGGCGCCTTACAGCCTACTGGTGACCCGGCTGCAGGTGAGCGAGCTCGGGTTCTCTGGGTTCACGGGGGCGGGGTGCCTCCTCCTGTGCCTGTGGCGATGGGCGAGGCAAGGCAAGGCGGGCCGGACCTGGGGCCGACTTCCCGTGTACCCGTCGCTGTTGTGGGCCCAGAGCCGTGCCCGCTTCTCGTTGCCCTAGGTCAAGGCGTCCCCGGCACCGTCAGCTCCCTGACCATGTCCCCGCCCCGGGGAAAATGTGGCTATAAGCTGTGATGGCTTGATGAAGAGTGGAGGCACCTCTTTTTCCTTTCTGAGGACCGCACTTCCCTCTCCCTTAGGGTGTCTTTCTGTTCCTCAAGGTGAGGACAAGGTGACTGGGGGGCGCGGTGGTTGTTGAGCCCTGTAGGCCAAGTGCCTGAAGCCTTCATCTCTCAGCAACAGATGCTTGCAAGCCAGGGGCATCCACAATTGCCATCTGGCCTGGAGGCAGGAGAAGCTAGTTCTTTATACTGTCTTTTGAGGACCTTGCGGAGTCAGGAATTGGAGAGTGTTCTTCGTTTACCCTGACGTAGTAAATAGTAATGTTTCTCACCGTTGTACCAGATTCCAAAACTGATTTTAATACCTACTAATATCATTTGATTCATATAATCGTCTGGTGAGATAGATGTGACATGATTTTTCCCATTGATAGATGATAAAACTACCAGAAAGTCGGTGAAAGTTCTGGCTCTCAAAGACTGTCACCCTTATGTTGTGACCTGAGCATTGACCCTCCTGCCCCTCTGTTCTCCTTCTTTGTGTCAGCCTGCCCTCTGAATTTTATGAGCCAGGGTGGGGTCATTTATATTTGTAAGAGTACAGAATGGACTATTTTGAGCTCACAATTAGTTGCTTTTCAAGTACTAGGTGGGAGAGTAAGGAGACTTAGCAGTTTGACCTTGACTCTCCTGTTATGAGCCATATAGAAAGTTGACTGTAACTGTCAGATGGGTTTTTACTCCTAACTTGACAACTCCCGGAAGGTGTTATATTCAAAACTTCAATGTCAAATGTGTGTTTTCTTAATAAAAATAAAAAGTTACCTGTAGACATTCCTTGTCAACCTCTTAAGATTAATTTTGACTTTTCTTTGGATCAAGTGGCATAACTTTGATTATAGAATTAATAGTTATGTGCTATACCCTCAGAAAGCATTGTTATTTGAAGTGATTTTTCATATTATTTAAATTTAAGCCAAAAAGTAAAATAATTTCTCTGAAAATATTTCTGGTCCCAATTCTGAGCAAAGGTAAAAGATTTGCACTTAATTATCTCTTTAGGTTTTTTGATTCTGTAAGTTAATGATGTGAAAATATTTGTTTTTTCCTGATTCTGCTGTCATGTGATTTAATGAAATTAGGCAAAATTATGTGACAGGTAAATAACTTATTGAGCTTGGAAGAAAGACATAATGTCAACATTTTGAACTGAAAAGGATATTGGAAAGTATGAATATTAGGGTGGTATGGAAAGAGATCTGGAATGTACTTCATGCTTTTGATCCTTGACCTTCAGCATGTAACTTCCTGAGTCCATTATCAGCTGAGGATAATATTTATTTATTTATTTATTTTAAAGAGAGAGAATTTTTTTTTTAATATTTATTTTTTAGTTTTCGGCAGACACAACATCTTTGTTTATATGTGGTGCTGAGGATCGAACCCGGGCCGCACGCCTGCCAGGCGAGCGCACTACCGCTTGAGCCACATCCCCAGCCCCGAGGATAATACTTAAACAGATGATAACTGTGTACTTGCATTGCCACAAAATGATGAGTAAGTGGAATGTATTTACAATCATGTAGTTCATCCTGTTTTACAGATGGAAAATCCAAGACTTTGAGAGCCTGGGTGATTTCCAGTAGCAGAATCAGGATTAAAATCCAGGTCTCGGGCTTTGGTTGTGGTTCAGAGGTAGAGCGCTTGCCTAGCATGTGTGAGGCACTGGGTTCGATTCGATCCTCAGCACCACATGAAAATAAAATATATTGCGTCCACCTACAACTAAAAAATAAATATTAAAAAAAATCCAGGTCTCCTTGTATGTTCATTCAGCGGAGATGGATGAACAGCATTATGCTCTTTGCATTATACCACACTGCGTCCCAGTAGAAACATAATGACAGCTAGCACTTGTCTATTGAGAACCTCTTACATTTACCTCTTTGCTTAGATACTCAGAAATATTTCAGATATTTGAGAAGTGGTAATTATCACCTTAGTAGTCTTTTCTGCAGAACTCAATGATGGAGTCATTTTATTCCCATTCTTCCACATATTTCCTGAGCCCCCACTGCTTGCCTTGGAAACACTGGTAAGCAAAGACAATCCCTGATCTCATGCAAGTGTCTACTGTATTCTAATGTATCATACTGCAGAGGGTCTCAGAAATCTTTCTTAGGCAAAATATTTTTCTTTTGCTTTTGGCTGGACCAAAGGTGATGATAGATGATAGAATGATGGCTCTTACTACTACCACTATGAGTAGCTAACATCTACATTACTGAGTGCCAGTAATAGCGCATGACTCTGGGATAATGCATACTATTAGCCCTGCTTTATGGATAAAAAGGATTAGTGAAGAAACAATAGAATGGTTAATGGCATGGATTCTGGCATCAGACCCGCCAAAGTTTGAATCCTGGCTTTAATACTGAGTAACTGTGACTCAGAGCAAGGTACTTAACCTTTCTGAGCCTGTTTGCTCATCTGTATGATATCATAATAATAGTACCTCTGTTTTAATCACGTAATAGTTGCAGAGTATTTAGAACCTTGCCTAGCACCTTTTAAGTGTGATATACTTATTAAATTAGATAAATTTTGCATAGGGCCATATCACTGGTATTGGCAGATGTGATTTGGATCTGCCATTGCTGATTTGAAAGCCTGAGGGCCAGCAGCTGTAACTTCCTTTGGCATCAAGACTCAGCCTTGGACCAAGGCATTATTGATTATTATTATCGTAAACTTGAGAACAGTGCTAAATTGTACATACACTGTTGTTTGACAGTACCTGTTACCAGGTAGAACGATTAGAAACTGGGGAAAATGCAAAGTGTGATTCTTTGAAAAGTCATGTTTATTCTCTGGTTTTCAGTATTTATTTTTTTATGCATATCATATGGATAAGAGGGGTTGGGCACTTCAACTTTTTTTTTTTTTTTGTACCAGGGATTAAACCCAGAGGTGCTTCACCACTGAGCCACATCTCCAGACCTTTTTTATATTTTATGTAGAGACAGGATCTTGCTGAGTTGCTGAGGCTTGCTTTGAATTCTAAGTCCTCTTGCTTCAGCCTCCCCAGCCACTGGGATTGCAGGTTTGGGCCACTGCTTGGTGGGGTTGGGTACTTCAGATAATTTCTCAGGTCTTTGGTTTTGCCTTGAGGTACTGGAGTTTGGGTTCTCATGACCTTGGGAAGGTCATGTAGCTTCTTGCATGTAAATCTAGGATAAATAATTCATGACAAAGAAGTCTGACTTCTTTGGTAGAAGTTTTCTATGAAGAGCTGCGCTTTTTTTTTTTTTAGTGATCTTGCTTTGAATTTTAAACAGGTTATTCTGGTTGTATGTTCACTTGGATGCCTTCCTGGGATTAAATATTGATTTGAATTGAGTAAATGAATGAATGAATTAGTAAACAAACCTATAGTCTCAAACCTGGGTAAAAGGAATGACTACTTCCTGGGACTAGGGCAGCACACCATTGCCTTGGAACAAATTGCTCCTAAAATGCCTAGAACTGCCCTATACCATTGGAATGCAGGGACTAAAGAGGGGGGATAATTTGGGCAAGGTGACACATGCCTATAGCCCAAATTACTCCAGAGGTTGAGGGGACACAGAAAATAACCAAGTAGAAAACAAGAAAATTGTAGCTACAGAGTGCTATAGGGAAGATAAAATAGAGCCTGGTGCTATGATGCACGCCTGAAATCCCAGTGACTCAAGAGGCGCAGGCAGGAGGATTACAAGTTCCAGGCCAACCTGAACAACTTTGTGAGACCCTGTTTCAAATAGTAAGGACTGGGTTTACTCCTCAGTACCAAATGGGGTGGGGGTTGGGGCATTAAGGAAGAGCCAGGCTCAGTGGTGCACTCCTATAATCCAGCTATTAGGGAGGCTGAGGCAGGAGAATTGCAAGTTTGTGGCCATCATGAAAAACTTAGTGAGACTCTGTCTTGAAAATAAAAAGGTCAGGGATGTGGCCCAGTGGTAGAGCGTTAGCCTGGCATGCACTGAGACTGGGTTCAATCCCCGGTACTATATAAAAAGGAAAACAACAACTAGCCAGTTGGCCAGTTGTTAGAGTAGATGCCAGAGGAAACAGGGCAGTGCCAGTAAAGGTGACATTTGAACTGAGGTTTACATGGTAAGAAGGCAGCCATTCAGCATTTTGGGAGAAGAAGTTTCAATTAGAAGGAGCAGCATATACAAAGTACCTGAGAT